CACCTACCCTCCTCACCTTCAGGCGCACCCTGAAAACCCACCTCTTCAGGGAAGCCTACCCCACCCTCACCTAACAAATAACCTCCTCCTCTCCTCCCACCACTCCTTCCCCTACAGCCATTTCCTCCTGTACCACTTTCCCTTCCCTCCTATATTGTAAGCTCGAAAGAGCAGGTCCCTCGAACCCCTCGTGTATTGTATTGTTACTGTCTTGTCTCATGTTCTGTCCCCCTTGATATTGTACAGCGCTGAGCAAACCCTTTGGCGCTATATAAATACTGTATAATAATAATAATAATAACATCATTTGAACAATTTTTTTTTTAATTGATGCCTTTTTTGAGATCTGTAACTCAGTCTCATGATCATTTTCAACTTCCTCTGCCACTCAATGGTCAATATATGGGTGGAGCTCATTACTTGCTTGTGACGCATCCTGCATGATCCTGTACTTTGTCCAGGACCACACAGAGCTGATTGGCGCTTGCAGTCACATTACTATTTTTTTTTTAATTGAGCAATAACATAACTTAAACAAAAGCTCATATCTGTAATATTTGCTTAGTTTTCACCACTCATTTAAGGGAAAATGTAATTCTTTATTATCTTCTCAGCCACCCCACGTGACAGTCTTTTGGGGAGAAACCAGAACTGTGATTGACAGCGGCTTGTCCTTCTTGTCAGCCATACCATGTGAAACTCCTGACTGAGCACTACAGGAAGTGATCCACTGTCCACTTGGGATGGCTGGGGGAAGAGGAAATGAAGAAGGAAGTGCCTTCTCAACACTGAAAATGGAGCGTGCCCAGAGAGAGTGGCAACCCAAAAGATTGAGGATTAACTGGTATAGCAATGCCACTCTGAATAAGCATAACTACCTGGCAGAATCAACAGGTAATTACTTTTTACTAATCTACTTTTGAAGGGTCCATGCCATTAGGGTGTGCACAACAAAGTTTGAGAAAAAAATTGCATCTATGTACTATATATATATATATATATATATATATATATATATATATATATGCACAATCTTCCTTGCGGCATTTTGCCCTGCCTACACATTATCTCCCTGCCTGCAGATTCAGAGTGAAGGAATAATGCTTCCACACTTATAAACCCTTATAAGCAGAGCCGCTTACTGGGAGATCATTTCCATCTCCCCACTGGCACACAGAGAGATAATGCTAATGCAAACAGGGTGATTAGGGTGTGCCCAGACACATCCAGCCAGGGGCGGACTGACAACTCATGGTGCCCCCAGCCATTAGGAGATCATGTGGCCCCTGTGTCCTCACCCACACTCAAACCACACCCAAAAAAGCCTATGAAAGGTACCAGGGGCATCTCGTGGGGCCCCCTACTGACCCCGGGCCCTCGGGCAGTGCTCAAGCTCCTAAATGGTCAGTCCACCCCTGCATCCAGCTCACCCTGTGCACACGCCTACGGTCTATGCACACAGGAATTAAAAAAACACTGCTTCTACGGGAGTTTTGCATTTTTTTTCTCCTGCCTGTGAAAGCAGCTCAATGTTATCCTATGTGTCCCTGCACATTAGGGCGTTGAGAGGCTTATTTCAAGAGGAGAGTTTAGAGGCAGAAAAAACATCACAAGTGTGCTTTTTAGTGGAGTTTTCAGGCAGAAACAAAACAGCTAAATGCTCATAAACATGCATACACGCAGTATTTAGGAGTGTTCAGTATTTTCAAGTGTACATTGAAAAATGAGCAGAGGAGAATGTTTTGGAAAAAACACTTAAAAGCAAATGCTCATAAACTCTCCTAAACTCTTTTGCATTATGAGGTATTATGAACATTTTTATGCCTCTTTTTCTGGCAGAGGTTCTGGCTTTTTATTGTGCTCGTAATGTGCATGGCTTTACATTTTTTGTTTTTATGTTTAGGAAAAATAGAGCTAAATATTAATGAATGCCAAAGCTCAGTATCCTTCATATCCCTCTGTAATCACTTTTAAGTGCTGGATGTATAACTCTGTGCAGGTGTTGTTAGAGCTGAGCTTTAAAGTGGCAATTTAAGGGGGGGGCAACATGGTTATTTTTTTTATAATCAGCCACAAAGAGCTTTCGTTTTGAAATGTAGAGAATGGTTAAGACCCCTTTCCTGCTTGTGTCTTGTTAGGGACATTTACTTTAACTTCCTGTCCTACAGACACAGCAGGATGTAAAAGGGGAACTCTTCAAAATGAGAGGATGTCTTCTTTTAGACCAGATGTCGCAAAACCTAGGCTCCGAATACACATGTGGCTCCCTGTCACTGCAGATATACATCACATCCGCCAGTGTGCGACACCCTGCCGGACACTCCACCAGACATCCCGCTGGACACCCTGCCGGACACCCTGCTGGACATCCCGCTGGACACCCTGCTGGACACCCCGCTGGACACCCCGCCAGTACAAGATATATTGTGATAGGATGGCCAACCTGATAGGGTGGCCAACCATGGATAAATCCAAGAAAAGAAAAGTTTCAGAAGAAAACAGAACGTTTAATAGTTCGTGGGCAGATCAATTTGCTTTCACTACTGACGAGACTGGTTTACCAGTATGCCTATTATGTGGTGAGATTCTGGCAAACAACAAAAAGTTGAATGTTGCAAGGCATTTCCAGAATAAACACACAGCCTGTGCTGAAAAATATCCAGATGGAGATGAGAGAAGAAAAGTTGTTTCGGAACTGATGCAGAAGGCTGATCTGAGCAAAAATCATTACAAGAAGTGGATGAAGTCTACAAATTCAACTACACATGCTAGTTTTGTGGCTGCTCAGGAAATAGTCAAACACGGGAAGCCATTCATAGATGGAGATTATATAAAAGAATAATTCTTTAAGATTTCAGAACATCTATTCTCGGACTTCAAAAACAAGAGTGAAATTGTGCAGAAAATCAGAGATATGCCTCTCTCTGCGAAGATATACATAGCATAAAGGTAAAAAATTATATATGCAGTGTTATCTTCATTTTAGATGTCATAAGCGTTTTGTGGCTCCCAGTGTTTTGTTTTTTTTTGTGGGAAAATGGTCCAAATGGCTTTTTGATTGTTTAAGGTTGCTGACCCTTGTCTTAGACAGTTATCATCATAGCTGGTATCCCCATTAGAAGATTCTTTCCCATTTCTACAACTGAAAGAGGTTGATTTACTAAAGGCAAATGGGCTGGTCTAAGTATTTCAAATACTGCTGCTCTACTGGGATTTTCACGCAAAAACATCTCTAGGCTTTACAGAGAATGGTCCGAAAAAGAGAAAATGTCCAGGGAGCTGCAGTTGTGTGGGCGAAAATGCCTTGTTGATATCAGAGGTCAGAGGAGAATGGGCAGACTGGTTTGAGATGATAGGAAGGCAACAGTAACTCAAATAACCACTCGTTACAACCAGTTTATGCAGAATACCATCTCTGAGTGCACAACATGTCTAACCTTGAAGCAGATGGGCTACAGCAGCAGAAGACTACACTGGATGCCACTCCTGTCAGCTAAGAAAAGGAAACAGAGGTTACAATTTGCATAGGCTCATCACAATTGGAAAATAGAAGATTGGAAAAACGTTGCCTGGTCTGATGAGTCTCGATTTCAGCTGCGACATTCAGATGGTGGGGTCATAAAGTGGTACAAACAACATGAGAGCAGGAATCCATTTTGCCTTGTTTCAGGCTAGTGGTGGTGGTGGTGTAATGGTGTGGCAGATATTTTCTTGTCACACTTTGGGCCCCTTTGTACCAACTGAGCATCGTTTAAATGCCACAGCCTACCTGAGTATTGTTACTGACCATGTCCACCTCCTTATGACTACAGTGTACCGATCTTCTGATGGCTACTTCCAGCAGGATAATACACCATGTCACAAAGGTCAAATCATCGCAAACTGGTTTCTTGAATATGACAATGAGTTCACTGTACTCCAATGGTCTCCACAGTCATTAGATCTCAATCCAGTAGGGTCCCTTTTGGATGGTGGAACAGGAGATTCGCATCATAAATGTGCAGCCAAAAAATCTGCAGCAACTGCGTGATGCTATCATAACAATATGGACCCAAATCTCTGAATGTTTCCAACAACTTGTTGAATCTATGCCACAAAGAATTAAGGCGGTCCTGAAGGAAAAAGGGGGTCCAAACCAGGACTAGCAAGGTGCCTAATAAAGTGGCTGGTGAGTGTAGACTGTGCACTTTGCGAAGTGCAGTTGCACTGTGCAAGTTTAGTTGTTATAGAGCTTAGTAAATGAGATAAAGCTTCACTTTGCAAAGAATACCAATCACGTGATAGGAAAATGAAACAAAAAACAGTGTTTTTGCTTGCACATTATAGGATGATGGAAGCCAGCAGAGTTTCTGCTCATTTACTAAGCTCTGGAGCAACTGCACTTGCAAAGTGAACCATCTATTTGCCTTTAGTAAACCAAACCCCAAATCTTTGAATTTCCCATCACTTGCTCTTCCAGGAACAATGGTCACGAAAACCAATAGAAACGTCACAACTCCCCAGTAGGGACACAGACAGCAATAAAATATAACAGTGGTTCTTACCCTCCTGCATTATATCCAAAACTAAAATAAAGTTTTGACTTTGCATACACTTTAACAGTCTTTTCCTTTAATCTCCATGTAGATCTCAAAGTACCAGTGCTAAAAGCAGACATTCTTATTTACTATCCTATTTTGTCAACGAACAATCATTTCTAAAAAGTTTGTAGTTTTATACAGTGGTGACTCTAGGAACAATATACTGTATAAGGGGGGCACATAAGATACCACAGTCAAAATGGGGGGGGGGGGGCACTAATAATTGTAACCACTAAATCATACCAGTGAACAAAAAAACAAAAAAGTATGTATAAATAAAATTACAAACTACGAGAGTAATGTGGTATGCAATTATAACGTTTTATTGTACCAACCTTATACTTAACAGACAAGCTTTCGAGAGTTTTCCTTTCTTCCTCAGGTATTGCTTCAGACCAGAGAAATAGGAGAGTACAGGAAATGGTCAGCGACTGCAGGCATACTACAGGAGATGGTCAGAGACTGCAGACATGGTACAGGAGATGGTCAGAGACTGCAGACATGGTACAAGAGATGGTCAGAGACTGCAAACATGGTACAGAAGATGGTCAGAGATTGCAGGCATACCGAAGGAGATGGTCAGAGACTACAGACATGATACAGGAGATGGTCAGTGACTGCAGGCAAAAACAGAAGATGGTCAGAGACTGCAGACATACTACAGGAGATGTTCAGAGACTGCAGACATACTACAATAGATGGTCGGAGACTGAAGACATAATACAGGAGATGATCAGAGACTGCAGACTTGATACAGGAGATGGACAGAGACTGCAGGCATACTGCAGCAGATGGTCATAGACTGCAGACATACTACAGGGGATGGTCAGAGACTGAAGACATAATACAGTAATACAGGAGATGATCAGAGACTACAGGAAAACTACAGGGGATGGTCAAAGACTGCAGACATGCTACAGGAAATAATCAGAGACTCCATGCATACTACAGGAGATGATCAGAGATTGAAGACATGATACAGGAGACGGTCATAGATTGAACACATGATATAGGAGATGGGCAGAGACTGCAGACATACTACAGGAAATGGTCAGAGACTGCAGACGTGATACAGGAGATGGTCAGAGACTGCAGGCATACTTCAGCAGATGGTCAAAGACTGCAGGCATACTACAGGGGACGGTCAGAGACTGCAATTATGATACAGAAGATTGTCAGAGACTGCAGACACACTACAGGAGACCATAAGAGAATGCAGACATACTACAGGAGATGGTCAGAGACTGCAGACATACTACAGAAGATGATCAGAGACTGAAGACATAATACAGGAGAGGATCAGAGACTACAGGCATACTACAGGAGATGGTCAGAGACTGCAGGCATACTATAGAAGATTGTTAAAGACTGCAGGAATACTACAGGGGACGGTCAGAGACTGCAATTGTAATACAGAAGATTGTCAGAGACTGCAGACATACTACAGGAGACGATAAGAGACTGCAGACATACTACAGGAGATGGTCCGTGATTGCAGGCAAACTACAGGAGAGGGTCAAAGACTGCAAACATACTACAGGAGATGGTAGAGAGGGGGGGGGTGAGGGTGGGGTGAGAGAGGTGGAGGGGTGAGAGAGAGGATGAGAGAGGGTGAGAGGGGGTGAGAGAGAGAGACACCTAGCCTTGCCCTTATCTGCAGTCCCTCCTGTGCCTCCTTGTCTCAGTCCCTGTTTATGGGTAGGTGTGTGTGATGCCTATTACCTACCTCCTGCCCGTCCTTGTCCTCTTGGGACACAGTCAGTGTGTCCTTCTGTTGATGTTGGAGCTGGGAGCCGAGAGGAGGTTGAAGAAGGAGTCCAGGCTCTGGGAAGCACCAGGGATGCTGCACCCTCTGCTGCAGTGCCTCTTCAGGGGTCAAGGTGCTGGTGGAGGTCTTCTCTTTCCCTGGTTCTCAGTCTTAACCACCCATGGCACTGGATTTAGCTCTGCTGCCCTGCTCCCGCTGCCACCGGACTCTCCATGACAAGGGGTTCAATGAGCAGCTGCTTTGGGTACCCCAGGGCAGCTGCCCCTTTTGCACCACATTAAAGACGGCCATGGCTGCCTGGCCAGTGGGTGGGGGGGGCACATGGGGGGGGCAAGGAATTACCTTGCCCCACTGTAACAACGGCCCTATTTTTATCTGATAATTGTGCTAAATGATATCGCCCCATGAGATCATAACTTTAGTATAGAACCCAGAGAGGAATTTAACCTGACTGTGTTCCAGAAACTCCATATGCCAGCATAGGCAAGATGCATTAATTTTAGAAAGTTCATTGTAATAAGTGAATATAATTATTATTAAACACAATAGTATTTTTGTCTTGGTTAAATTCACTAAAGTTCAATAATAGAAGACTGCCTTGAATATTTACGTGTATGTATGTATGTATGTATGTCGTAATTTTTAGAGATGCAACATATTTCATAAATTAACAAGGTCTCACAAAGTACATAAATAGTAAATATTTGGAGACACAGCCCTTCCTTCACTCTAATGTCTTCTTGGATAAAAATTCAGTTGCCTCCCACTGATATAATTTGTTTCACACTCACAGTCTGGCAGCATGAATCAAATGTTGACATTCCAATTTCATGCACACATGGGTATTTGGCAAAGGAATCAGTTTCTTGACTATTCAGTATCTGTGAACCTGTGCACTCAGAGGTAAGGGGTTTAAAGGGACAGCACGCAAAGGGAATGTCACCAACAGGGATGTAAATAATAAAAACCTGACAGATAGTCTAACTCTCCCAACTACTAAAAAAAGTAGTTTTATTGTTGTATTTGTCTCTCTTGCGATGTTTTCTCCCCTGTTCTTCTTTCAATAACTACCATCATTGGGAAGAGTATTGAGTGAAATGCCAAAGCAACGCAGCAAAAAATCCAAACCTTTTCTACTCTATTAAAAAAAAGAATAAAATGTTGTCTAGAGTTCAAATATATTAATGTCCAAAGATTGTTTTTTATGTATATGTTGTAATTATATATACAGGGGTTAGACAAAAAAATGGAAACACTTCATGATCTGCAGAATGAAAGTGGTGTAACATTCTTTTGCTTGGGAAGGAAGTGAGGTGGGAAGCCTCACTTTGGTCATTTACTACTTGCACTGCTAGTAATACAGAGTCATGTCAGAGCTTACTGAGCTTCAAAGACGGCAAATTGTTGGTGCCTGCTTAGCTGGTGCCTCTGTGACTGAAGTTGTCAATCTATTTGCTGTGTACAGTATCAAAGGTTATGACAGCATATACAGTTGCCGGGGAAAACGCCATCTGATAAGTACAAATGCGGTTGACATGGTCAACTGACCGAAAAAGACAAAAGGGCATTGTGCAGGATTGTAAAGCCGAATAAGAAAACAACCCATAAAGAATGAGATGTGAGCTCTGCAATCACTTTTGCAGCAGTTGTTTTCTTATTCCGGGTCACAATCCTTCACAATGTAATTTTGTCTCTTTCAGTCAGTTGACCATGTTGACATCGCTCATGCTTAGCAGACAACGTTTTCCCAGAAACCGAGTATGCCGTCATAACCTTTGATACTGTACCTCGCGATACGGCAAATAAATTGGCAACTTCAGGCACAGAGGCACAGGCTAAGTGGGCACCAACAATTTGCCCTCTTTGAAACTCAGTAAGCTCTGACATGACTCTGTATTACTAGCAGCGCACGTCCTGAATGATGAAAGCGAGGCATTCCACCTGTTAGCTAGGTGTCTCATCATACAGTGGAAGCAAAAAGCACATCACTTCCGCTTTCAAAGCAAAACATGTTGTCACTTTCACACCTGCAAAACATGTAATGTTTCCATTTTTTTGTCCGACACCTGTATAAAAAGGAGAGCAGCCACGTTTGCTTAATATATAGACAGGCCCTGCTTGCAGCTTTTCGAAGCTACTAGATGTATTGCTGCTTTTCACAAAGCAAGTTTCTGGGTCTGCTGACTTACTAAAAAAATGTAGTCCAGTTATCTCAGATATTGCTAAACAGAAAGACAGCGTTATTACAGTAAAATATACATCCCTTGGATGACTAATCTAGAATCACAATATAGTAACATAAACATAACATAATATACAGGTGAAACTCGAAAAATTAGAATATCGTACAAAAGTTAATTTATTTCAGTAATGCAACTTAAAAGGTGAAACTAATATATGAGATAGACTCATTACATGCAAAGCAAGATAGTTCAAGCCGTGATTTGTCATAATTGTGATGATTATGGCTTACTGCTCATGAAAACCCCAAATCCACAATCTCAGAATATTGTGAAAAGGTGCAATATTCTAGGTTCAAAGTGTCCCACTCTAATCAGCTTATTAAGCCATAACACCTACAAAGGGTTCCTGAGCCTTTAAATGGTCTCTCAGTCTGGTTCAGTAGGAATCACAATCATGGGAAAGACTGCTGACCTGACAGTTGTGCAGAAAACCATCATTGACACCCTCCATAAGGAGGGATAGCCTCAAAAGGTAATTGCAAAAGAAGTTGGATGTTCCCAAAGTTCTGTATCAAAGTACATTAATAGAAAGTTATGTGGAAGGGAAAAGTGTGGAAGAAAAAGGTGCACAAGCAGCAGGGATGACCGCAGCCTGGAGAGGATTGTCAGGAAAAGGCCATTCAAAAGTGTTGGGGACTTTCACAAGGAGTGGACTGAGGCTGGAGTCAGTGCATCAAGAGCCACCACACACAGACGGATCCTGAGCATGGGCTTCAAATGTCATATTCCTCTTGTCAAGCCACTCCTGAACAACAAACAACATCAGAAGCGTCTTACCTGGGCTAAAGAAAAACAGACCTGGTCTGTTGCTCAGTGGTCCAAAGTCCTCTTTTCTGATGAGAGCAACTTTTGCATCTCATTTGGAAACCAAGGACCCAGAGTATGGAAGAAGAATGGAGAGGCACACACTGCACGATGCTTGAAGTCCAGTGTGAAGTTTCCACAGTCTGTGTTGATTTAGGGAGCCATGTCATCTTCTGGTGTTGATCCACTGTGCTTCATTAAGTCCAGGGTCAACACAGCCGTCTACCAGGAGATTTTGGAGCACTTCATGCTTCCTTCCGCAAATGAGCTTTATGGGGATGCTGACTTCATTTTCCAGCAGGACTTGGCACCTGCCCACACTGCCAAAAGCACCAAAACCTGGTTCAATGACCGTGGGATTACTGTGCTTAATTGGCCAGCAAACTCGTCTGACCTGAACCCCATAGAGAATCTATGGGGCATTGCCAAGAGAAAGATGAGAAACATGAGAACGAACAATGCAGAAGAGCTGAAGGCTGCTATTGAAGCATCCTGGTCTTCCATAACACCTCAGCAGTGCCACAGGCTGAGAGCTTCCATGCCACGTGGCATTGAGGCAGTAATTGCTGCAAAAGGGGCCAAAACCAAATACTGCGTACATATGCATGCTTATACTTTTCAGAGATCCGATATTGTTCTATGGACAATCCTTGTTTTATTGATTGCATGTAATATTCTAATTTTCTGAGATTGTGGATTTGGGGTTTTCATGAGCTGTAAGCCATAATCATCACAATTATGACAAATCACAGCTTGAACTATCTTGCTTTGCATGTAATGAGTCTATCTCATATATTAGTTTCACCTTTTAAGTTGCATTACTGAAATAAATGAACTTTTGCACGATATTCTAATTTTTCGAGTTTCACCTGTAGTAACAAAAACAGAGAAAAACAAGCAAGCAAAATTTTGTAATTTTCATCTAGTTAAATAGTTGGTTGAAAAAAAAACATCAAAATCAACTAATAGAGAACTGAATTTATAAATGTATTGAAAGCCTGCATATACAGAAATACAAACCCACAGTTGATACTGGGAAAAGAAAAGAAAAAACCCTTACAAACCTTGGTCCAATT